TTTTTACACGACATGTTTCAGTTCTAAAAGAACCATCTTCAGGTGTATAAAATTATATAAACTTAAATATAATTTCTTAAATGCAACTTTTAGTCAGATGTTTATCAGATTTCAAAAGATGTTTTCTTCTAGATTTATTGTATTTTTAATATCGTATTCGAAGTTGTTCTGTATGTACATTATCTCTTCATCATTTTTAGAAAACGTTTATGACGTTTATTATTAAAACCTTGCATACCGTGTAGAGTATTGTAATATACAATACGCACACAAACAACTGTTTACACTATGTAGGATATCAATGCCAAAAGTGTTTCGACTTCAAGAGGTCATCATCAGAGGCACAAAAAATGTTTATTCTGTTATTAATTTCCTTTTCTAAAACATTTTTGTGACCCATAATCATAATAATTACGTCACATTTCTATCCTATTTTTATTTGTGCTGTCCCAGATGGTTTACTTCTCTGTGGATTCAGTCCAATGCATAATCCACAAGTCAAAGATCCATCTAACCTGGACAGACAAACAGTAAGCCCACCACTGGATACGATCCTGAGACCATTTCGTGCTTCCCTTATCTTCATAATAATTTTTCAGAAGATCAATATCAACTTTTTTTAAACTTGACGTCTTCCAAGACATTTCCTCACAAAAATTCTGTATGCATTCTTCATTCCCCCGACCAAGCAATCGTAACATATTTTACTTGAATATTTTAACAGTATTAGCTAGACTGTATAAAGAAGTGCACCATTAAACAGCCTAATGCCGCAAGTTGTTAACTTTATTCTGACAATTTTGTTTCCAAGTACTTACAAACTTTAGCTAATGCTACAGTTAGAAATTCAAGAGAGTTTATTTTATTTATACGCATGCTTAACAGACAAACAAGACCAGTTATACTGAAGCACTAAACCAACAGTACAAGCTAAAATAATATAACATACAAACGACGTAAAACATCAAGAAATAATATTAAAATAAACAAAAGGAAACACGATGAAATATGCAATATGAAACTACAGAGTATGGACGAAAAACGGAAATGTAAGTCGAAATACAAACAACGTTATAAAGTGTTCTTCAGGAAAAAAAATATCCCTCTAGAAATCGACAATATCCCTAGCAGTAGAAACACGCCTCTTGAAGGATTGTCGTTAAATTTTTATTAACCACAAAAATACTGTACTGACATATTCATAGAACTAATTTTGTTTTTAAATAGGCTGACGTAGAAAATAACATAAAGATACCACAGCCTAAAATAAAACACTAAGTTCTATACAACATTATCCTTCAGAACACTAATGTGCACCGCGTCACACTGTGCTTTATTCTCTATATGACATGCTCGTTGTTTCGTTGCCAGGAACATGCATAGGACTTAGTACCTTTATGCTCTGATTCCACTACAGAAGTCCGACATTATAATTGTTACAATACGTACTAGTCCACACAGACATTCGAATTTCTGATAGAAATCCCATAAGCAAATGTTTCTACGCTTAAGGCGTGTGTTGAATTTCCAGAGAGTTTACGAAGGACCTGCAAAGTAACAGGACTTTTTTCTAAATTCACTATTCATTACAGTAAAATTAACAACAACAAAGGTCATGTTGACTTTATGAGTGATGTATTTTTTTGTAACCGCTAAAGTTTGTTCAAGTGTCTCTGCGTGTTTCCATATGCGATATGTGATCATTACTCCGTCACCGCAAATTACCAGCACCCCTCGCGAGGACCACGACACAGCGGTTAAATACACACGACATTTCTGATCCATTTTTCTCTGCGGAAATACTTTTCCTTCTCCTTGTCTTGAGAAATTCGATTCAAAATTGCGTTAGGCCATTTAAATTCTGACCTCGCTCGTTCGAAATTTATTTAGAAGTTTCTAAACCTTTGTGGATATTTTATTCATTAACTTTTTCTATACTTTCTGAATGCAGTCTTGCGAGAGGACTACAGATATTACATGATTCCGATTAAACATTAACATAAATATCAGTCGTGTTCCTCGCTTATTCTGTTTCTGACTTGTGTGTGACTTAAGACGGAGAAACCAGATCAGTTTCCGAATCTTATATCTTATTTTCTTTCCAATCGGCTTTAGAGCTGTGTATTCCATACAGTGTAACAACTGCTATTCTCCTCGGATTATGTTATCACGGAGTGAGAGACTTTCTTAGTTCCTCTCATTCTCTTTCGTTTCTTCTTTGGGTGTGTCCGAAACCCTACGGAACGCCTATTAAAATCTCTCCTTCCGCGTATTCGTCTGTACGCTTCAACTCCAAACATGGCTTAGCGGAATTTCAGTAAAATTTGTCGACGTTAAAATCTGACGACAAGAACGGACAGTGTACATGAAGACGTACACAAGTATTATTTATTTTTTCTACCTAACAAGTTTACTAGATGGGGATCCCCGAGCCCGGGACTCCCCCATCACAAGCAAAAATCTAATATCTTATTACGAGAACGCGCCAGAACTGTTACTCTGTGCGTGTATTTCGTAATTTCTTTATTTCTTCCCACCTTCCCCGTTAATTTTCCTTCTGTCTTCTTTCGCCTATATTACTGTAATCGAAATACGGAACTTAAAAAAAATTCGTCTTTTAGGATTACTTACATTTTTTTACTGGAATACCTACTTATGATAAGTAATTATTCATATAAATTTATTTTTGTTTTTCAAAATCTTCAGCTAAAAACTTAATTACAAAGATAATTTGAGTATCCTAACTATGGTCTTTCCACAGGTTAAT